TGAAAAGATACTTTGAAATCTGTTTTGTGAGTTTATTCTTTTTAGTGTTTGGTAACAAGGTGAACTGTTTGTCTTTCTTACTTAGTAGCTCTCTAGGTGGCTGGTGGCCTGAGGCCTGATTTTTACTTCTGAAGAGCAGGAAGCTAGAGCCTTGGAAGAGGAGCTAGTATGCTTGCTGCTTTTAAAGCTACAGTTACTCGATATCTTCAGAGCTCTGAAAAGGATAAATTATAGCTATAGGTATAACCCAAATGGCCTGTACATCGATTAAAATGGCATAGGCTTTCCCATTGCCTAGAGAGGTTACCCTGGACTCCAGTAGTCTCTATGGCTTTTGTCAGTTATGTAACTGTAGGTCTTTGGGCGTCATCCAGGACAGCATTTAATATTCAGTTGACACCCAGAGCAGTGGGCCTTTGTATGTCAGACCCAGGTCTGAGGGATTTTTCCTGTCCAGGAACTTGGGAAAATTGACCTTTCTTTGACCAGGCCACTTAGGGCAATCAACACAAAAATGTTCAGTTTGTGTAGAGCCCTGGAAGCAGGCAGGCATGGGGAAGTTATGCTCAGGTTAGTGTTAACACAGTTCAGGTGGAGTTGGTGTGCCCCATCTATCTTCTTTGGAGTCCACCAGGTTCCCACTAAGTAGGGACATGTCTATTATGGGAAGCCTAAACAGTTTACCACAGTTTTTTGTATGGCTTAGTTTACCCAAATAGCTAAAGCTAACAATGTGTGAAGCATTTATCTAAGTGTTCTTTATCAATTAAAAAAATCAGGAGTCAGATACGTGATAAGAACCTGAAAGATCAGAGAAGCAGTGGAGCAGCCACCAGTGACTTCCTGCCTCTTCTGTTCCTCCATCCAAAAGGGCTGAAATCCTCTCAAAGCCCCATCTTACTACTACCTTAATCCTCCAAAACTCTATGGTTAATTTTGGTCATCTAGTGGCTAGCTGCGTCCTCTGATTCACAACCAACTTTATTTGTCAGAATGCAATCAAAACATCACACAACAGAGGTGACCAAAGACAAAGAGGTTAGAGAAATATTACTGTGAGTAGACTTTAGAAACATACAAATCTTATTTATCAAATATACCCTGTTTATTAAACACACGGTTTTACTTATCTAAATTTTCTAGAATCTTGGTGTTGAACAGTTAGCAAAGACATAAGTAGTTAGACATACATCTTAAATCAACTTTTGTTAATCCATGTAGACATTTATAACTGTAAATTTTTATCATCATACAAAGATCCATACCAACCTACAATAATTTAGAGATCTATTGTGATTTCTTTAGTCTTAAGAGGAGATAAAATGATATTCAGTGGGCTCAGTAGAACTGAGAAGTGTTGTGCTTGTTGCTTTATACCTTGTGGTCATCTTAAGATGATGAAGTCACATGGAATGTACCCTTTAACCTTAGTAAAGAGGGCTGCAGACCATGTGGCTGCTTAGAACTTGATGAGGTTATCAGTCAAATTTGAGGAGAGTCACATGGTTGCTATTTAAAATAATATATTTTCCTAAACAAGAGTTGAATCTGATACATATAGAGTATATTTTTAAAAAGAGTTGAATTATCTCTCTCTCTCTCTCTCTCTATATATATATATATATATATATATATATATAATATATAATATATATGTGTTTTGTGTGTGCATATATATATATGTGTGTGTGTATGTGTGTGTGTGTGTGTGTATCTCCACTTACAGATTCTTAATTATAAGCCTTTGATATAAGTTTAAAGCCAATTTTTTGTTACAGATTTTAGAGGTGTGTGTGTGTGTGTGTGTGTGTGTGTGTGTGTGTGTGTGTGTGTGTGTGTGGTTTTTTGAGGCAGGGTTTTTTGGTGTAACAGTCCTGTCTATCCTGGCATTTGCTTTGTAGACTACTCTGGCATTGAATTCACAAAGATCCACCTACCTCTGCCTCCTAAGTACACAAAGATCCACCTACCTCAGCCTCCTAAGTACAGGAGATTAAAGACATGTGCCATCATGGCCTGGCAGATTTTTTAACCATATCCAATGAAATTAGAAATCCTGAAATCCTGAGATAGATTTTACAGTCTCACAAGTCTTTTCTTTTGAGAGCAGAGTTCAGAGATATTGTAGAGCTTAAAGCTTTTAAGAGTGGGATGGAGAATCTTTTTTTATGAGTAAAAATCCATGAAAAAGTTTATGTAATAACATTGGAGAGGTACTCGATTGGTAGAGTGCATGTTGAAGTCTGGAGGGCTTCCATTTAATCTCCAGAACCTGTATTTAAAAATGAATCTGGGTGTAGTGGCTTGAGGTCATAATCTTAGTTGCTGAGGGCCATGGAAGTATACAGCAGGTGATAAATAGGGTTTGACAAGTGGGCCCACCAAACATATAACTCCCTGATAGGGAGCCCTAGCTGGAAAAGCTCTGGAGTCACTAGCTGTGGAAACTAGTTGTTTTCTGTCTGTAACTTTCTGGGGTGCCACTATTATGCTTCCTTAATAAGAACAGCATGTGGGTGCTTTCCACCCCCCTTTGGTAGTGTGTCACTGGGCACACATTTATCTGTGGATTTCTGTTTAAGTTGTATAATTCTGATGAACAGAAATATTACCAGAATATTTTTCTTTACTGACACAGAAAAGTAACAGTATTCTCAGTCTCTAAGACAACCTTTTACACATTTTGCAAAAACCTTAGAACAAGTCCAAAACAGACCAAGCTGCCCCTAAAGAATATACACAAAAACTAATTCCCAGATGTTGTTTATTGCTAAATCAAGGCCAGGCTGTTCACACTGACACTGGCTCTTTGCAGTAGCTCTCCTCCTGCATATACCCCTACCAATCAAGGTTCAGGGAACTGTTTAATGTCTGGGACCCCTCAGCAATCCAGAGGTACATGCATGGGTCAATGTGACATTACTAGCCTTAGAGAAACTGTGTGACTTATCTTGTGTTATGAGAATGGATAGGGCCCTGAAAATGTAACTTAGAATTGTCCAGAGTTTGGCTGTGGGGCAGTAGTGGTGGTGGTATGGAGAGAGATGTCTGTGTAGAGCTATGAGCTACTGCAGAATGTGAGTGGGGAGTGTGTGTGTGTGTGTGTGTGTGTGTGTGTGTGTGTGTGTGTGTGTGTGTGCTGAGTGAGAGATGAAGAAGAAGGAGCATTAGAGAAGTGGGGAGGTGATGAAGGGGTGAAAGAGGGAGTGAGTAAAGAGTGAGTAAATATTGTAAAAGAAAGGCGTGTGAGTGAGTGTGAGAGAGAAAGCTGTGTGATAGGGATGTTACTACACGGGGGAGCTGTGCCTAGGATCTATGTAAAGTGCTGCATGGAGAAGGAGCTATGTAAATGAGATGTTTAGCTTTGACTGGAGATTTGTAACTGTGTGGAGGCAAGGAAGATGAAACTGTGTAGAAAAGATGTAGAAGGGAAATGTATGTAAAAGAAAGATGTGTAGCTGTGTGAAAAGATGTATGTATGGAAAGAAGCTCTATGCAGTGGTGTGGAGATATGTAGTTGTGTGTAAACAGAAAGTCAGAGATCATTTGTAATATGAAGTAAAAGAGAAAGTTAACATCAGAAAGCATGTGTATTTTTTTAATTTTACCAGTAAGATAGATAGAAACTTATTTCTAATTACCCTCAGATAGAAAAAGTCTAGCCCTCAAATAGATAAGAATTTTTCCTAAGTCCTCACGGCCTTTGTGGATTTTCTTGCATTATCCTGGTGGTAGCCTTGGAACAGGCTCTGCATAAGGTCCCAATACCCAGTGAAGGGAAAATAAACACAAGTGGATCCTTGAGTCTTGGTGGACAGCCAGCCTGTCGAGCCTACTTGGCTAATTCCAGGCCACTGAAAAACTCTGTCTCAAATAAAACACACAGAACACTCAAAGTATGACAGCTGAGGTTCTCTTTGGCCTCTACCAGCACATGTACATGGGCACACTGCATGCACACCCATACACATAATCTGTTTAGTATACCTCATTTACCGATCATCATGGTCTAACTACAGTATACTATAGACTGGGCGTATTACCCTTGTGATCCAGTTCAATGGCTGACTGGAAGCTGCTGATCCTTCCCAAAATGCTCAGCCCCTCATGTTCCAATAAGTGGTTTCCCATCATAAACATTGAGGAACTGTGCAGTTTTTTTTTTCTTTATTTCTATAAGGGATGGTAGGGTGTGGGAGCCCACAAAAGTTTCCTTGTGAGATCTGAGTTTGCCTGACACAGCAGAGCTGCATAAGGGGATGGTTTGACTATGGGCAAGATTGCTAGGTGGCTGGCAGGGTCTGTAGTTGACTGTGCCTGGAGGGGTCATTTGCTCCACCCCTTGGCATTTCTTTAAAAACCCTTTGGTAGATATAGTCAGGGCCCAATGGATAAGGATCCAGGCTCTCCTAAGGCTATTCTATGTTTCTGTCTGTCTCTCTCTCCAGGTATATTTCTATCTAATATTTCCTGCTGCTCCTGCTCAAGAGTACCCTGGAGAAAAGTAGGGGTGGTATGGCCCCCCACAGTAGGTTCTCACTATGCTGTGTGGGGTTCACCAAAATCCTGGGCTCAAGTGATCCTCTCCTCTCACCCTCCTGAGCTGACAGTCCTTGACTTAAAATGGTTTCACTGATGTTTCTGTCCAGCCTCACAGTAGTGTGAGAGCAATACACATTCGGTAGAAATAGGATGGAGAATCTTAGAGACATTAGACCTGTGGAAATAAGGAGCAAAGCAAGTTTAGATATAAGAGATTTTAGGATCTCTCTCTCTCTCTCTCTCTCTCTCTCTCTCTCTCTCTCTCTCTCTGTGTGTGTGTGTGTGTGTGTGTGTGTGTGTGTGTGTGTTGTGAATCTTGGAGCTGCAGTTAAGCAGATACTATCTTTTGACAAGAATTTCCATCCAGGGAGTCCCCAAGCAGACTAGGAAATTTGTCAGGGAATAAATATTCCAACTCACAGAAAAGATGCCCCTTGTCCTTGGGATTAGAGCCCATTGGAGGTGAGAGAAGTTTCCTGGCACACCTGTTTGGCTTCTGTAGTAACAGTAAACAAAGCAGGCAGCTTGGGTTGACACTTAGCCCATAGAGGAGACATAAGAGAGCAGGAACAAAAGGGAGATTACCACATGGGTGTCCCAGGCTGGAGGCATAGCAGGCTGCTGCAGTCAGAAAGAGGTGCCCACAGGGAGGACATAGCATGCCAGAGCCCTGAAACAAGGAGTAGAAGAGAGACAAGTGGTTTGAAAGCATGAAAAGGGAAGGAGAAGATGAAGAATTGGACCCTGGAAGTTGGAATCTATTTTGTTTTTGAGTGGAAGAAGTCAGCAGAAACAAATGAATCATACATACCTTAGGAGAGCCTGAACAGGAGCTTGGTTCAGAGCAGCTGAATTCCCTGGGGAGAGAACTCCTGGGAGTTCTACACCAGATGAATGAGAAAACAAACAAACAAACAAAAAATGAAAGAACATGACTGGTCCTGGGTTTTGACATGCACCAGATAAAATAAATAAATAAATAAATAAATAAATGAATGAATGAATGAATGAATGAATGAATAAATAAATAAATAAATAAATAAATAAATAAATAAATAAATAAATAAATAAATTGTGGAACCAAAATAAGACCAAAATGCTCTCACCCCAAAACTAAAGGCCTAAGACTGCTCCTTTTAGCTACAGGCCATATGTTACTGGAACAGGCCAGAAGTTACTGAGACCAGTCAGTTCAGATTCCAGAAACCAGGAAGTGTAAAAGTACAGAGTCACAAGGTAGTCAGGAGGTAATGGCTGCCGGACTATGGAATGTCCTCTCCCTGTCTCCCTAGGCAGCTGCTTGACCATAGAATGTCCCAACCCTAGTTTCCATAGTGACTGGGTAATCTCCAGATGCCCCCATCTGGGGGCAGCCAATGAAAAATGGTGGTGGGCAACTACTTCCTTAGAAGGAAAACTGAATTGTGATTTCTGGAATTCCTAGACACAAGTAAATCAGAATTTTACCCGTACTAGCACCCCCTAAATGATGTAACCTTGTGATTTTTCCCTTTAAAAACTGAGCTTGCAGACAGGTGGGCGCTTCCTCCAGCTTCCACTGCGTTGGATCTGTTGGACGAAGTCCCTGCCTAGGCTTGTATTGCTTTTGGATATCCACGATTAAACCTTGCTTTTGCATTCCGGCTTGCTCGTCCTTGGTGGTCTCTCTGGGGGTCGCGATCTGGGCACAACAAAATAAATAAATGTTTTAATTAGAGAAGTAGAAACTTTCTGCCAAGCGTCACCATTCCCAAATAGATCTGCTTATATTATTGTGTGCCAAAGCTTGGTAATATGACTACAGTTAGCTATAAGGGAGAATTAAAAAGTAGGTATATAGTTCTCCAGGCAATTCAGGGGAAGGGCACAAGAAATAAAATTATGAAAGTGACTTTAGAGTTGAAAAGCTTCATTGTCAGTCATAATGACAGAGGGATATTGACTTTTGTTTTTAAACTCTCCGTCAATAATTTTAATAATCACCCCCTTAAAACTATCAAGATTGTGAATATTTCCAAATTCTTTGAGTTAATCACCCTTACAGATTTTTCTCTAAAGAGAATCTCAGGAATTACTGCCTCCTATGGGTCTGAAGAATTAATCAATTCTTAGATAACAATTCACAAACTGTTAGCACAAATGCTGTACAAACTACCTGCTGCTTATGTTTACAGGGACAGAATTGCTGGTTCTGATATATGGGGGACATTTGAAATGTGAGTAAAGAGTTTATAGTTCTGTTCCTCTAAAGGACTCTGACTAATACAGACTGTGGTACTGTTGTGCCCAGATTCTGACCCCCAGAAAGACCACCAAAGACAAGCATGCCGGAATACAAAAAACAAGCTTTAATTCTGCATATACAAGCCTAGGCAGGGACTTCGTCCAATACATCCAACACAGTGGAGGTGGAGGAAGTGTCCACCTGTCTGCAAGTTCAGCTTTTAAAGGGAAAAATCACAAGGTTGCATCATTTAGGGGTGGTAGTACGGGTACAATTCTGATTGGCTCGCTTCTAGCTACTTCTAGAAAATACTTCTAAGGGAGTTGTTGCCCACCACTATTTCTCATTGGCTGCCCTCAGGTGGGGGCATTTCTGTGGTCAGTTACCCTGGAAACCAGGGAGAGGACATTCCATAGTCTGGCAGGCATTACCTTGTGACTAACCTGTGACTGTACTTTTACACTTCCTGGTTTCTGGAATCTGAACTGACTGGTTTCAGTAACTAATGGCCTATTCCCAAAAGGAGAAATTTTGGGCCTTAATTTTATGGTGAAAGCATTTTGGTCTTATTTCTAAGATGGCTCATTTTGGTCTCACAGTACCAGGAGTAGTTCTGGGAAAACAGAATTTTAAGCATGAATGTTAAGTATCTGGAGCAGGCTTGGCAATTCACCAACACCTTCAATTACTGAAGACTCCTCTGGTAGTATGGAGAACACTGAAACCCCATAGCAGAAATATTTGAAAGGATTTCTGCCTTGAATAGGAATTTAGTGACTCTATATATGAAAGTTTTAACAATTTGTGGGAGAGTAAGAAAAATAATGCTGCTAGCTAGTTGCTTATAGTACTTGTGGATGAACTGACAACAGAAAAGAGTGAGTTTAGGGATAAAACCAACGAACTTGTTTCTGAGGTTCCAGTGGCAAAGGAAAAGAATGAATTTAGGTCTTGGGCCCTGGCTCCCCATATTTGAGTAAACTGTTTGCCTGCTTGCCGACCTTGCCCAGATGTCCTCCCTATGCTAATTCTCTGCTGGTATCCACCCTCCTGAATGCTTAAGGGAAGTTCCTTGTTTGTGTAGCCTACATTTTGGGCATTAACAGCTTAGATGCAAGAATGTGGGATGTTCTGTAGTGAATGTCTGCCCTCTGGGGCTCTCCCATTGTGCTGTAAGCCTGTATTCGGCATTCTGCTGAGTCTTTTGTCTCTGTTTTTCCATCCACAGCCCCTCACTCAGACATGGTGAACGGGTGGTGGTAGCGCAGCATTATCACTACACTTAACATTAACAGTATTTTGCGCTGGGGACCCCAGCTGGCGGGACCAGGATGTCCCACCCATGGGAGAGAACACGCTGGGCAGTTGTAGTCGTGGACAGCGGAAGGCAACATGTCATTCACAACCCAGGCACTGCACCTGTGTGGAAATGAGTTTATTATAATGGGATATTAAGAGAAAACTAGGCAAAGAGGTGTTGTGCCCAGATCATGACCCCCAGAGAGACCACCAAAGA